CTCATTTTGTTTTTCTGCCATGCTGACACTCCGGCACCTGCCGAGGCAGGCATTGTGTTTTTTGGCACTCTGGCCAAAAAACATTGCCTACCCCTGAGCTAGCAGCACTCCCAGCTGCTCAGAGCGCACACCCAAAACACACATGGCCCACCAAACACTCAGCAAGCCAAACACACACAGGCAGCCCTGGGTACCTTACCTACCCTGAGCAGGATCTGGTGCTAGTGTGTCTGACAAAAGTCCTCCCAGGGGGGTGAGTCAGTCCAGGGTGTGGGGTGGAGCCAAGTGACCAGGGAGTCATTGAACAGGGACAGCAAACAGAGCTGGAGGTTGGGAGCCTGGTTCTCTGGTTCCTCCTCTTCCTCCCAGCAAACTACTTGCAAACTGCCCTGTTTGCTGTCCCTGTTCACTCACTCTCTGGTCACTTGGGGAGTCTCCTTTGAGCTACAGACACTTGTGGAAGTGCTTAAAGCTACAGCTGGGATAAATAGCTACCAGGTGTGGGTGTGACACACACCCAGCCTCAGTTTCCCACCTTTCACCCCTTGCTGATGTCCACAGGGCTCTGCTTATTGGTACCTAAAATGTTCTCTGGAGCTTTGGAGCCCACTGAAGTCCATGAAATTGCAGTCAGTTTAGACTGGATGTCAGGAAGAACATCATCACTGTTAGAGCAGGGAGGTGGTGGGATAGACACCTAGGGGACTTGTGGACTCTCCATCATTGGGGGTGTTCAAGAAGAGATCGTACAGCCACTGGTCAGGGATGATGTAGGTGTAGTGATGTCTGTGTTGTACTATGGGAATCTCCCAGGCTTCTGGGTTTCCTGGTTGCCCCCCACCCCCACCCCCACCCTACTTTGCTTTCTGCTACATGTGGCAGGCCCTCCATGTGTTTTTAAGCCTTCCCCAGAGGCACTGGGTGTTGGTTGCAGCCCAGGCTGGGGATGGTGACTGGGACGTGCCAATGCTTCTCTGCTGGGACAAAAGCTGGAGGATCCTGGCTAGAGTGTCTTGCCCCTCCATTCAAGGTCAGACCAATCGCCATATTCGGGGTCAGGAAGGAGTTTTACCCCATGGTCAGATTGGCATGGACTGTGGTGGGGTTTAGCCTTCCTCTATAGCAGGGGGCATGGCCTCTACCTGGGATCTCTTGAACGTATATTAACAACCTTTAATTGAAGCAGATGTTGGCTGCTGTGGTCCCCCTGCTTTCCCCGTGGCAGGGTTGGGTGGGAGGCCCCGTGGTGCGTGGTCCCCCTGCTTTCCCCGTGGCAGGTTTGAGTGCGATGCCCTGTGTTGCATCAGGGTTGATGGTAGTTTTATGAAGAGTTTAGAGTATGGATTTGTACAGGATGGTTTGTGTAGGGCTGACCCTGCTTCAGGCACAGGGTTGGGGTAGATGACCTCCGGAGGTCCCTTCCAGCCTGACTTCTCTAGGATTCTGTGATAACTTTTGAGTGTCACATTCAATGCAACCACGTTACAAACAGACCTGCCAGGAAGTGGCCAAGGAAGGGACAATTAATTTTTGGAGCTATTACTTATGTTTTCTCCTATCCTGTGTCTGCTCCAATGATCCTGCTTTAGGGCAGGGCCCATGTACTTCTCTCTGCAGAGTGCCCAGAACTATGGGCTCTGTAGGGATTGGGCATGGGTGGACCTGCCCCAGAATTAGGGACAAGGTCTGGAAACAGCAGAGGACAAGAACCAGAGTCTAAGACCAAGATGCCAGGTAAGGAACACGGGGCAAGGTCCACAGACAGAGCTAAAGCTGAGATGAAGAAACCAAGACAGACCAAGGCCTGGAGAGAGGCTTAGAGCAAGAGCCAAGGGCTCTGGTGGTGACCAGGCATGGAGCCCTAAGCACCACAGCTAATGCTCCCAGCACCTCGTCCCAGAGGCTGAGTGTGCCTGTGGTTACCAGAGCTCAGACGTGGGGGTTTCTTCTTCTACCACCAACTGCTCATGGGCCTGGTAGAACTGCACCACCTGTTAACCCCCTCGGGACAACTTCGTAGCAGGCATGTTGGCATAGCTCTGCTAGAAGTACCTCAGTAGCTCCAGGAGCTAAACATTATAGTCTACAGGGGGTTCAACAAGCAGGAAGGCTCTCTCCTTACCACCCATTACAGTTACAAGGCAGCCAGGTATAGTGTGCAAAATCTGTTTATTAGCTAGACTGTCAGGATAACATGGAAACATGACACAGGCGAAGATTGAATATCTGCTATGATTGCTTGAGAGAAAATGTGCAGAAACTGATGCAATATAAATGTAACTACAACAACCCAAGCAACCTGAAAACCTTTGAGCTAGGGGTATTACACTCATCTTGTACCCCAGACTGGATCTGGACTTCGAGGCTTCTTGCAGACCCGATACAGCCTGGGGCATGCAGCAGCTGTAGCTCCAGCATGGGGCATGTAGGCCAGCAGCTGAGTTGTTGGGGCCACTGTAGTTTTTGCCCTACAAAGAAGCCAGAAGGCAACCGGGGCTGTATCAGCCCTCACTTAACCTTCTGCCACTGATCACCACATCTGCTGGGGCCCAATGGCCGTGGATTCTGTGGCAGCTCACAGCCATGGTCATGGCTCCAACAAGTAGCCTGGTGGGCCAGATTGTGTGGCTCCTTGAACTGGAACTGGCCCACAGGCCGTACGTTTGACACCCCTGCTTTAGGTTACTAAGCCAACCCTGCAAATTTTAGATGACATCAATTGCAAACTTGGAGGAGTCAAACAACTACTTCAAGAGGGCCCAGTTCTTTCCTGTCTTTTTTTTTCCGCACTCCTTTCCCATACCCCCAGTAAAATTACTGTTGCCTTTGCTACCCCTTGGGCATGTCTATATATGCATTTACGCCAGCTTATTCGTACTGCGCAGTAAATTTCTGCGCAATATGTGGGAATAGGCTGGTGTCTATATGTGCGGGCATTAAAGCGCATTAATACTGTGTGTGGACTGACTTGGGACTATTTTGAGTCAGTCTACACACACAGTGTTACTCTGCACACAAGATAGTCCCAAGTCAGTTCACACACACAGTGTTACTCTGCAGTAAGGTGTCTACATGTGCATTACTGTGTAGTAACTAATTGGGAGTAAATTTGATACCTGAATGATGCGGGCATCAAATTTACTCTCAGATCGGTATAAGTCACTATATTTACTGCACAACAGGCATAGACTTGTAGACACATGCCCATACTGTGTAGTAATTTTGGTTACTGAGCAATAAATGTGTAGATGTGCCCCCTGCATAGAGATTTCTAAAAGTGCGTTGTTCTGGTGGTATTAAAGGCATTGATTTTTTTAAACCTTAGTTCTCCCAGAAGACGTACAGGGGCTGAACTTAAAACAGTGTGGAATCTCTGCTCTTGGAGGAGTTTAAGAGTAGGTTAGATAGACACTTGGTTGGGATAGCTTAGTTAGGGGTGGTCTTGCCTAGAGCAGTGGTTCTCAACCTTTTTTGTACCAGGACCCATTTGTAAACATCAATGGCCAGTCCCAACCCATAGCCCCCTGGCCCTGCCCATGCCCTTCACTCCTGACCCATGGTCGCCTGCCCTCTTGGGCCATGCTGGTGCCTCTCACTGCCAACTCACAGCCCCCTACCCCCTCAGCCCTTCCAGAGGGGATCCCCTGCTGTCCCTGTCCCACTCAGAGCATGGTGGCTGCAGTGGCTGTGGTTCATGTGGGTGGCAGTGGAGTGAGTTCAGCCTTGACACAGGCTGGAGGGAGGAGTGGAGACCTGTGGCACCCTCCCTGCCCTGGGCTGGGGCTCCTGTGTCACACCGAGCAGCCTGGTCACAGCCCCACCTGCCCTCTGAGCAGTATCTCCCGGCCTCCTTGCCCCTGCGAGTATGGTTACCAGCCCCAGTGTCATGCAGCAGCCCACCACCCCTGAAAGACCCCTTTCCCCCCACTGGAGAGGCAGGTGTCTTCTTCCTTGCTGCTTCCTGCCCTGACACAGCGTCGGCCCCCAACCACATTCCCCCAGTGCCAGCAGGCACCTGCACTGCCTCACCCACTCACCGCCCCCCCCCCCCAGATAACTCCCAAAT